GATAAGCAAACGAACATTAATGGAGGAGAGTTGTGCACCCAGCAGATGTCAGATGAGGCCCTATAACTACAGCTGGATGAAGATCCGGTAGAGACACCTGTAGTGGTCGCTGCCGACCGACGCCGGCCAACGCCCTCCATTGCTTTGTCCGACGTCATTGTTCAAGACCGGCTGCCTCAAGGTCATCCAATACCTCAGTCAGCACTTATAGACACGCTGACCTACAGAGACTTGACCTAGTTCCACTCGAACACACACGCATGCGTCTAGGTTCTCGCGGCTGCCCAAGCACCAGTCGAACATGTCTCCATGCCGATACCTGGAACGGGAAATTTTTCATTCATGTCCCTTTTTCTCCACCCTCGGCGCAAACATCACTTCGGATCACACCGCTCTAGCGGAAGGTCGTACTCTCCGTAATCAAGCTCTTTCCTTCTATTCTTCGTTCCTTTGTGTACACAATAAACTATTCCTACTATCCTAGCCACCACTGATTTCTTCTCTAATAAATAACCAGTATCTGAAGATCGCAGTTGCCAGGGTTTAACTTACTTATTCTCCTGTGATACAACGGTCAAATACTTCAGATAATTACTGAGAATTCAAGGGCCAATTCCGTCTACTTTATTTTCGGTAAGGTTCCCAGATCTTATAGCAATTCGAAATTGAAAAATTTGGTGCAAAGACCTTGCGCAGGAGTACATGATTTGAGTGAGTTAGCAGTGCTCTCATCCAGGCTGGTCGCTTCCCTCTGCTTGCTGCTGAAATATAATCCTCCCAGCGTGGTGTTTACTCCTCCGCCTCGTTAACTCCCTGAGGCCTTAGAAGTTCAGTCAGGGCGTTTGGCAGGCGTGGACATATAAAGTAGGGCGCTAGACGACTGACAAGAAGCTGAAACTCCTTCTTCCTGGCCAGTCGAGCCAGCGAAAGTTCCTTTGAGGATTGAATTGTCTCGCCTTCCTCCTCCTTAAGCATCTGGAAGATGATCGACTTCAGAAGATCCTATAAAAGGCAAGAGATCATAGACAGGGAACAAGTTTTAATCCAGTTCCTGAAATCTGCTAGTAGAAGAACCATACTTGATGGTAGACGTGCTGCCTCGTGAAATGTTAGTGGACATTTTCAAATGTGTTTTCGAGAGAAGAGATGATTAATGTGGGATTGTTATACTAGTTAATCCACAGCATAATCTCCAGATATTCCAATCGTGCTAGGATGCCAGCTTTCGAATGAGCTACTCTTCGATCCCCTGCGGAACCTACAAGCTGCAAGAAATCACTACCGAATTAATGAGAATGGTTCTCGTTGATTTTCGAAAATGTTTCACAGAAAGCATA